AAGTGGGTGAAACTCTTCACTCAGATTCGTTCCATAATAAGGTTTTAAAAGGAAAACATGCATAACTGGGTGAATATGAAAGGATGAAGGTAGATTAAGCATGTATGCAACCATACCGATTTTTTCTATGACTGTGAAAGGAAAAAAAAACTTTGGGAAAGTTTCTGAGATACTCGCCTATTAACTATGTTTTGTCTGTATGGCTGCAACTTAAGAAGAACCAGATCGCTGAGCTTGAAGGTAAAATAAACTCTCTTTGTGTTAGCTTATTTTTTCCATATTTATTCTGCTTTTATTTAAGTTCTCTTTCAACTGGGTGATAATAGTATGTCTTTGTTGCAGGGACTCATTAAAAGACTGTTCTTATGCTGAATCGGCCAAATAATCGATGATATTGGGTGGATCTCTACCATAAAATGGTTTGAAGGGAGTCATATGTATGACCGTGTAAAAAGAAGTGTTATACTAAAACTCAGCAAGATGTATGAATTTGTACCACTAACAAGGGTGAGAGCCGACAAAACATCTAAGGTATGTCTCCACATATTTATTTACTACTTCAGTTTAACCATCAGTTTCTGGATGATACACATTACTGTAATTTAATGTTGCTCCTTGTACTTTGAAGAACTCCTTCCAAAAGGTGATAAGGAATAAGGGGCTGTGATATGAAACTATGGACTTTGGAATACAATGAAGGCGAGAAACATTAATAGAGAAACAAGTCGCGAGGGCCTTTGTTGTAAACTTTGTTGGTAACGCGATGAAATGGATGAATTTTGCCAGACGATCACAGATCACCAAAATGACTATGTGACCAAAAGAGTTGGGTAAGTGAGTGATAAAATCCATAGTAAGATAATCTCAAGCTTGATTTGGGATCGGTAGAGGTTGGAGTAGTCCCTTTTTCTTTTGAGTTACATGCTTGTTATGTTGACAGATATCACAATGTTTAACCATGTGTTTTACTTCTTTGTATATACTTGGCCAAGAGAAAGAAGTTGACATTCGAGCAAGAGTGGCTTTGACACCAGAATGACCTACTGTTGGTGTGGCATGGAACTCATGAAGAATGCTTTGACGCAAATCTTGAATATCAGGTATGAAAAGTCGTTCTTTGTAGAATAATAATTTATTTGAAGACTTGTAAAAATTTTGGTCAGTGTTGTTGTGAGTTATTTGAGTAACTAATTGTTGTCTTGCTCTATCTTTTGATAAAACTCATGCAATATGTACAAGAGAAATGGAATTGGAAATGATAAGGAGAACAATAAGGGGTCATCATAATAGTATTTCCTACTAAGGGCATCAACTACCATATTAAACTTGCCAGGTTTGTAAATTTTTTTGAAATTGAACCCTTGCAATTTGGCTGCCCTTTTTTGTTATTCTGAAGTTTAAATTTTCTTAAGCAACAGATTGCAGAGACTCTTTTGATATGTGTAGATATGAAATTGTCGGCCTATTAGATATTGACATCATTTCTTTACTACTTTTGTGATAACAAACATTTCACGGACATAGACAGAGGCAACTTGCATCATATGGCACATCTTCTTGCTAAAAAAGGCGATGAGGTGACCATCTTGAGACAAGACCGCACCAATGGCTACTCCTAAAGCATCGGATTTAACTATAAACTTCCTTGTAAAATTAGGCAAAGCTAATACTAGTATGTCAGTCATTCTTCTTTGTAATTCTATAAAGGTTGCAACCTCGTCTGTACCCCAAACAAATTTAATGGAACACAACAAATCGGTGAGAGGAGCAGTGATAGTGGCGTATTATCGAACAAAACAGCGATAAAATCCCGTAAGTCCCAAAAATCTGCGGAGTTCCGTGAGTGAACGTGGTTGGGTCAAGTCCAAAATGGCCTTAACCTTATCTGGATCAGGTGCAACAATACCCATGGAAATAACATGTCTCAAATAATGAACCTTATCAACTGCAAAAAAACACTTTGATAATTTCACAACATAAACATTGGACTGTAACAAATCAAAAACAACCTACAAATGATTAAGATGGTCCTTGAAATTAGCACTGTAAATTAGAATGTCATAAAAAAACTAAAACGAATTTTTGCAAGTAAGGTCTCAAAAGATCATTCATCGCTGACTGAAAAGTTGAAGGGGTGTTTGTCAACCAAAAAGGCAATAAGAAAAACTCGTAATGTCCATCGGAAGTTCAAAAACATGTCTTGTGTGTATCTTCCGATGCAACTCGGATCCGGTGATAACCTGAGCGTAAGTCTAATTTGGTGAAAACTTTGGCTGAGCCAAGTTCATCTATAATGGGTATTAGTAATCTCTCTTTGATGGTAACTGCATTGAGAGCGTGGTAATCTACACAAAACCACCATCTTCCATCTTTATTTTTAACTAGTAAAACTGGAGAGGAAAACAAGTTGTTACTAGGGACAATGGTTCCCTCTCTTAACATGTCCTCAATAATGAATGCCATAACATCTTTTTGTGAATGTGGGTAACGGTAAGGCTTCACATTGATAGGTGGTGTGTTAGGAAAAAGGTTAATGTTATGGTCATGGGGTCTAGTAGGGGGAAGACCACTTTGGGAATGGAAAATGTTTGGGTATTTCTGTAAGAGGTTAGAAATTTGTGGGTTAATATTAGGGGGAAAATATCCCAAAAATCAAGGAACTGTGTTGCTTGGTGTTAGTTGTCGAATTGGCAGGTTTAAAAATCATTAGGTGTAGTGATGAAATGGAGTTGGTGTTGATAAGTTGTTTGAGTTGGTGAAAAGTAGTATTAATTGGTTGAGATGTAGGGTTTCCCCTTAAGGTCATTAAAGTGTCCTTATGAGCCAATGTGATAGAGGGAATGGATAAATTGGCCTGAATGGGACCTAAAGTGCGTAACCACGCCATGTCGAGGACAATGTCGGCCCCTTCAATAGGAAGAAAGTAGAAAGGTAGGTTAAAGGGTTTGTCTTAGAGAACAATTCGAACATTGTTGCATATTCTTTCACATTATAAGTGGGAACCATTTCCCACCATAACAAAAAATTGAGGTATTGAAGTGGCTTTAAGATTAAGATGATATGCGATGCGAGGTTGCATGATGTTATGTACGCTGTCAGTATCAACTAGCACTATAACTGATAAACCATCAATGAGTCCCTTGAATTTGAGAGTTTGAGGGAAAAATTGACCTATAAATGCTTGAGTGGACAGTTGAAAATAAGTATCCTCATGAGTTGTTTGAAGTTCTGGTTCAATGTTGGTCTCAATAGAAGGTTGTGATTTCATAGATTCATCTTCAACCAAAAGTAGTAAAAATCTACTAGAGGAGCATTTATGACATGGGATAAAATTTTCATCACAATTAAAACACAATCCTTGAGCCTTTCTCTCTTGTAATTGGGTCTGGGATAAACGTTTAATGGACAATTTAATGGTAGGGTTAAAGTATTGAGTTTTGAAAGGAATGAAACTTTGTTGTGTAGGGGAAAAAATTGGTTTTGAGGTAGAAGGTGTGGTAGAATTTGGTCGTGGTTTGGTGTATGTGTTAACATAAAGCTTGACGAATTTGGGCATGACATCCTTTAGTTTTGACTCAATAATTTTACAAGGCCAATAACTTGTGATATTGAGGTTGGTTTATGAATTGTCATTTCACTGTGAATTTCAGTATATAGACCAGAAATGAAACAATTTAAAATTGCATCTTGCGGTAAGTCAACAATTGGATTGTCTATTTGCTCAAACTTAGTTTGATAATCCACAACAGACCCATCTTAGGTTAATTTGAATAGTTCAACTTGATGGTTATCATAAGTCGATAAACCAAAACGCAATTCTAAAGCTTTAGTGAAGGAACCCCAATCTGTTAAAAAAATAGTTTTGGTGCATCCATTTAAACCAACCCAAAGCATCACCTTTCATATAAAATGATACTAAAGGTAATCTATTTTCTGGTGGTAATTGATAAAAAGTGAAAAATTGTTCAACTTAAAATAACAACTCTAATGAGTTTGAACCATCAAACAATCAAGTTCTAATTTAGGGGTTCGAAAAAGGGGTAAAGGAAAACTTTGTTGAATGGGGTGGGGGGGGGGGGGGGGGGGGGGAGGTATGGGGTTTGGTGGAAAAAGGGAAGGGTATAGTTTTGTGTGATTACAAAAGTTGTTGGGGTGGGGATTTAGGGTAGGTAAGGTGGTGGTTGTGGTGCAACAGTTGATTTAATTGCTATAGGAATAGTAGAGGTATGAGAAAAAATTGTAGAGTGTCTAGTGTGGGTGTTGGTAGGGGTAACAACATAAAAAAATATGAGTTGTACTCATAGGTGTAGAGTTAGGGTTTTGAGGTATACTTGATGAGTTAGCTGCTGTATGAACAATTGTAGAATGTTGTTGCTCCTTTTGTGCAACCAACTTGGTTAGAATAGACATGATTGATTTGTATCGTGAGTCTGCTACCTGTTTTTCATTGTCCATCCTTATGTAGATATGTTCAACATGTTGCTGCAGATCTGCAATAACTTTATCAAACCTTTCATCAAGATGTTGTTGGGTTTGAGTCATTGCATTATCAAAGTGTATGTGAGCTGTTTGAACAACAACTTCTTCTATAATTTCTCTAAAAGAAGGGTTGAGGGTTTGGGAGGAGCCATAAGTGAAAGATGAAAACACCAATGTTAGGCTTAGCTGAATTAAAATTAAAATCAAAGTTGCATAAAAAAAATAACACAAAATAAAAATTCACATCTTTCGTTATCTTTCAACTTGCAAGAGATTACAATTTAAATAATTAGAATTAAGACTACCAAATGGACCATGGGCAACCTAAAGAAAAAATAAGAATTAAATAACTAAAAAATAATAATAATTGAGCACCCTTTTTAATAATAAAAATCTTTTAAGAAATTTTTTCTTTTCTCTAATAAGCCTCTTAAACTACTTATTAGTGCTAAGCATCACCGCTCCCTCTCCTGTGAAAGAATTCACGGGAGACAAACCAAACCCGAGAGAAAACAGTATTAATGGATATCAACATCAAAATAAATGGAGAAATAAAGAAGGTGAATGGAAAGGAACTTAGTTACAATGAATTTGTTGAAAGATATATGGAGAAGAACAAGCCAGTGGTGCTAACTTTCATTTCATACTTCACCTTGGCCAACTTGGTGCTGCTTTGCTACATAAATAGAAGAAATGGAAGTACAACTGGAAACTCGTCAAGAGTAGCTCAGCATGTATCCATGAATATTGGGTCCATTAGGAAGATTGCATCAGAGATGAAACACAGTGGTGGTCTAGAAGGGAATCATGATTGCATTGTGGATATGATAAAAACATTTGAAGATCCCAGGTTTTCCAAATTCTGCATGCAAGTGGGAAAAACATATTTAATGATAAACGGGCAATCCAATTTGTTCTCTGATTTTGTGGGTGCTTCCATGGTTGATTTGGTGGATCTCGATATTTTGAAAGCACATACTTCTTCTCAGATTTACGCACCTGAAGAACTCATTAAGTTTATAGACAACGCCATTGCAAAACTGGGTGACTTTTACATCGAGTAATCTGTACAACATGTTGCTTGGTTGCCCTATTAAAATTTATGATTCACAACTCTGATTTTGATTGCACTTGAAGTTGGGACCAGTTACTGCAATCACAATTTTCAACTCTTACATGTTATCTTCTCAAACAAGAATGTTACCACCCATTTGGCACTTGCCTTTGTCTAAGTAAGCCTTCCTCGTCACACTCCCTTTAATCAACCTCTCCTTGTTATGCTGCATATTGCATATTGCAAACATTGCAGACAACAAGAATTTGGTTTTGCCTGTTCCAGCTTTCAATGTCATTAATAGTGGATCACATGCAGGAAACAAGCTTGCTATGCAGGTATGATTTCAAAGACCTCTTTCTTGTTTGCATTAATTTAAGAGATAGAATACACACATTGAATAATTGATATACAATACATATGCAGGAGTTTATGGTTCTTCCTGGTGTCTATTCGCATATGGTTCGTGAAATTGATTGTAGAGCTATACCAGTGTATTTTTAGTAGTTGTTAATGTTGGGTTATGCTGATGTCATTTCAGGCTGTGATTAAGAAGAAATATGGTCAAGATGCAGTAAATGTTGGTGACGAAGGTGGTTTTGCCCCTAACATTCAGGTTATAATGATGGTTTATAACTTGTTTCCTTATATGCATTGTATTTGGGTACCACCTCAATTTTTTGATCTGTTGCTGATGTGCTCTTTGGCTTTCAGGAGAACAAGGAAGGTTTGGAGTTGCTAAAATCTGCCATTGGGAAAACCTTGGAAGAAGCCTTGCAGCAGCTACCCTAACTTCGATCTCTTTTCTTCTACGACACTACTCCATCAGGCCTGCTGTTGAGAAAACCTTGGAAGAAGCCTTGCAGCAGCTACCCTAACTTCGATCTCTTTTCTTCTATGACACTACTCTTTCCTTTTGGATCCTAAGCATGTCATTAACCCTCTAACTGATAGTACTCTTATTACCACCAGCATAATCCTCACTTTGATTTTGATTTGTCTGATTTAAAGTTTAACCTGTTAATTTTAGTGAACATTTGCTTTCACATGCCTTAACTTTTGGGTTATTTGATTGCTGTTTGCAGCTGTTCTTGGCGATGGATTCATGGCAAAGGATTTGACATTTCAAAACACAGCAGGTCCTGATGCACATCAAGCAGTGGCGTTAAGATTAGACAGTGATCTTTCTGTGATTGAGAATTGCAAGTTCATAGGAAATCAAGACACTCTTTATGCTCATTCCCTGCACCAATTCTACAAATCATGCCGCATTATAGGGAACGTGGATTTCATCTTTGGAAATTCAGCTGCAATTTTTCAAGACTGTCAAATTCTGGTTCGTCCTAGACAAGTCAAGCCAGAGAAAGGCGAGAGCAATGCAATCACAGCTCATGGTAGAACCGACCCTTCACAAACTACAGGTTTGTTTTTCAGAACTGTTTGACTAATGGAACTGAGGATTACATGGCATTGTATCATAGTAATCCTAAAGTGCATAAGAACTATTTGGGTAGGCCATGGAAGGAGTATTCCAGAACAGTTTTTATCAACTCTGTTTTGGAAGAACTTGTTACTCCTGGGGGTTGGATGCCATGGAATGGTGAGTTTGCACTTAAGACTCTTTATTACGGAGAATTTGAGATTAAGGGAAGTGGTTCTGATTTGTCTCAAAGGGTGTCTTGGAGTAGTAAAGTCCCTGCTGAACATGTGTCGAGTTATTCGGTTGAAAATTTCGTGGATGGTTTCGGTTTATGCTGGTGGAAGGTACATTCTAAGTCTGAATGATACCTTGATCCCTTATTGTCGTGAAGGTTGCGAAGGCATCGTTCGAGTTGGGTCAGCAGACACTCGGAGTTGTTTTGTGATTGTCCAAAGTAAAGCTTACGAAGTTGTGACGAGTGAAGTCGTGGGCGTGGTACGGGTCAATAACGTAAGATGATTGTTCTGTTGTATGTTGTTTGCTGCTGTATTCGGTATCCTCACCAACATATTCACATATTCCTCTATATTTGTGCAGGAACTCTGGTCTTTATGGATTCAATGAGCTCTCTTGCGTGATTTGCCTGCGGATGCCTGTGGCTCCATTGAGTTATTGCCACCAGCCGCCAACAATTGTTATGTTCTGAAATTTGGCGGTAAGTAAATGATTCCTGTCATGAATAAGTGAGAAAACAATTGCCATTGATTTTTATTCTTGCAATTGGTTTGGCATTCTGATATCGTCTGCCGTCAGCTGTTACTGAATCTTCATTGTTTGTTCAAATGTAGGTGATTACTGAATCTTCATTGTTTGTTCAAATGTAGGTGGTTACCGCGAGATATACCAAGCATCATACCAACATGTATTTCGCTCGGCCAAAACCTCAACGTAGATCTCGGGTCTTTATCTGGCATGATACTCGAAGGAATATCATGCACGTTAATAAGCTTCTCAATATACAACTCATGTAACTTCTGCAAGGGATAACTAGTCTTAATTAGAATAAAATGAGTCGATTTAGTCTGTCTATTGATAATAATCTAAATGGAATCACATCATTTCATCGTCTTCGACAAACTTGTCACAAAATTCATGGAAATACCGTCCCCTTTTCACTAAGGAATGCTCAACGATCATAAATGTTATGATTATAGCCATCTGACATAAGCTATAGATTAAAACATACTCTTCAAATGGTGCTTGCTTTTCACAAGTCTCGGTTGTTTGGCTTCCTTTGCTCCTAGATATATTTTCATTTCACACATTTATAGAGAATGAAACTCATGTATGTGCTGATTTTATGGTCAATGTGGATCTCACTTGTAATTCCCTTACCATTTTTGACTCCATTCTTAAAACTTTCACTTATTTCATTGAAATAGTTATAATGATGATTTACATTTTCTTCCTTTTTTTTTTGTTACAATTTCTAAAATTGATTTTAATACAATATGCATGGCCATTCAATTTTCCTTTATGGTGATAATTTATGATTCAACCGTAATTTATTAATTTTATAGAAAATAATTATGGTGAAATTTACTTTTCAATTTTGTTTTTATGATGATTGGATGAAAATTTCAATTGTATCCATTGTCACTAGGTTAGAGACAAAAGAAAAAATTAAGCTTTTTATTAGTCAACACAAAAAATCCATTTAGTTGAATTAAGAAAGAAAAATATGATTTTATTAATTTTAATACTTTAAACCAAATTAAATTAAATTTTAATGATAAAAAAATTGTTTATAACTTTTATCAATTTAAATTTTAACTCTTTTGATAGAATATATTTTTGTAAATATGAATAATGCCTTTGTTATCGGAGTTAGTTAAATTAAAAGTGAATACTTTATTCTAAAAAAAATCTTCATTCTAAAAATATGGTTGTGGTTATGAATAGAACAAATCTAAAACTTTGTAAGATAAAGAGGTAAAAAGTGATTTATGAGTTATTACCTTTCTAGATCATGTAATTCACATCACTTCTTATATAAGGGAGATTTTATTTAAACTTTATACTAGTGAAATTTTTTATAATTTAATAATATTATTCTAAATACAAAAAAAAATACTTTTAAATCTTTTTCTTTTTATTAAAATTAGTTTATACTTTATGATAAAAAATAAATTTGTTTTTAAAACTTTTTTTTAAAAACCTAATAGTAATTCACATCAGAAATTTCAGCCACCTTTTGTGGTGGTCTTGTGCCGCCGCCTTTAAGCCAAAAATAATATATAAAAGCGAAATTCTATTTACTATCATTAAAAGAAAGAAGCGAAGAAGAATAAAGAAAGCGATTTCAGACAATTCAATTGGTCCCCATAACAATTACTCACAAGGTTTTCACATAAACGACAAAGTGAAAGTACGTTCTCTTTCACTCTTACCCTATTTTCTCCTTATTTCTTCCCAATTTCAAAACCCTAACCCTATTTTCTCCTAATTTCTTTCCAATTTCAAAACCCTAATCCTAATTTCTTCCATTACAATCAAGAATTAATCGTTAATTAATATTGGTTCAACCTGGTTTTTAAACGCATTTGTTTGGTTCAGCCGTGAATTTACGCGCATTTCCAAATTTTCACTATTTTCAGTGGCTAATAGGGTTTTGGTTGGAAAATTGATTCTTCTTACTAAAATTGATTGTTATTACTAAAATTGATTCTGATACAAATGGAAGAAAGTCGTTATGGTGATGATTGAATTACGGAGATTTTAGTTTTCGTATAGTGATCCTGAAGAGAAAAAAATATATTCCTTATTATAATGTATTAACTTGCATAAAAAATAATGTTCGAAATTTATTGATATAATTTAATTATCGATGATTTTAATTCTCTTGAACCCAAATCAATAAAGCTCTTTTCTTGAGTGGCTTTTTTTCAAACGCGCGTTTCTAATATTTCACTGATTTCAGTGGCTAATATTAGAGTGTTGGTTGGACTCTTATATCATGAGCACGCACTAACAATTTTTTTTAATTACTTGTTTCTTAGTGAATAGAAAAATGGAATACAACAGTTGGATTCCCGTGGCTGCAGACGAAAGAAAGGCTTATGGCACATCAACAAATCATTCATCAGTTTTCTCAGACAAAAGAAAGTCCTCAAATACAACCGTTGATGCTGTTTCGATGATTGATTTTTTCACACATGATCAAATAATAGAACATGTTAATAGTCTGAAAATGGAACCTCTTCAGGTTAGTACAGCATCTTCTAGTGTTTTCAATTATCCTGCTGTGTTTAGGTATTATTGTTATATGTTTTGTTATAACTGACAATTCCAAAAGGTTAAGCTATTTGGTTAAAGTTCATGAATGATAATTCTTTTACTTTGGATGTTATATATGCATGCTATCCTAAAACTTTGATTGTCTGCATGTGCTGGCATGCTCAGCTGACAAATTCTATTTACATTTGTCAATTTCTTCAATTTTTATTAATTTTTTTGCAACTTACTCATATGTATAATTCTATTTACTTTTAAATTTGTCTTAGAAATATTAAAGTTAACAATTCTTATAA